ACATTTTGGGCCTGGTTTGGTCTTCTTCAACAATCAGCATGTCGCCTGTCAAAAATAAAACAAATCCAGAACTGAAGAGAAAGTATAGATGAAATTGGGTGTTCACTAACCAAGTCTGTAAATTACAAACAGAAGGAGTTAAAGTATAAGCTGGGGTTACTAGAGAGAATACAGCTTTGCAAACATGTGACCTGTAACACTTTCTGTTCACTGTATCTTCATAAAGACGCAAATGGAACAAAGAGCAAAACACTTTAGGCTGCACCTCATTTAGTAAAGGGGCCTGAATTATACACCTTCATACTTGCTTAAAAAGATACATTTCGAGAACAAAATTTTCTTAAGCTTGCTCTCTGCAGTTTAAAAACACTTCCAAAAGGTGTTTGTCACAGACTCGGCCACTAGGGGGTCCTCTCCTTACGAAACTTACATACCTACCCTGTTCAGTGTTTACAGGATCCTTGATACAACAACGGAAAGCTTTTAATTACCATTATTGCTGTTCAAGTTTAATACTGCACAGAAATAACTGCTGTTGTCTAGAACTTGAAAGGGCCTTTACTGGGTGTGTCAGAGCAAACTCTAAAATGAATACAACTGTCAAAGTAAGTATATATGAAGGTGATTGCAAAAATGAACCAGGAAAGCAAAAAAGTATCCGACATCCTTCAGACCGGCTGTCTTATTTCAGTGATATAGGGGAAAAGAGCCATCAGGACAGAGAAAATAGGTCCCATTTTTAAAATACTTTTGCGGACGCAGAGGGAAACAAAATGAATGAGACGTTTTCAAGAGAGACCAGAAAGCAGATTGAGGAAAGGTTAGTCCAAGGCTTTAGTCTTCTCACAGAGGCTGGGCCCTCCCTGCTAGACACTTGCCCTGGCCTCCGTCAGAGTTCTCTGTTCTTTTATCTTTCCTATCCTGTTCCTCCAAGCCTCCAGCTGACCCACACCACCTCGCCCTGTTTGTTCTCCCTTATGCCTCTCTCCGACCTCTCAGGACTAGCCTTGGCCTAGCCTCGATTCCCTTACCTGACTGAATGGGCAAATCCCCCAGAATGGTATCCCCGTTGCTGAGGTCCAGGCACTCGGGCGGGTATCCTACGAGGATTCGCTGACAGCCGGGGGCGATCCCGGTGATGGCGGCAATTTGGCCCTGGAGTTCCCGCATCCGGGTCCGGCTGGACAACCCCTGCAAAACATGGGTGCCATCCTTGGCCTTGCAGCGGAGCCGCCACATCGTGTCGATCCGGCCGCCCACAGGCCAGACACCCGTGGGTCCCGCTTTGGTCCCGGCAGCAGGTTGGCAGACGCCGCCGGGGTAAGAAGCCGGCGGGTGGACTCCAAAATAGCCACCCTTTGCCGGTCCAAACATCGCGAGATGTCGCTGGTTGTTACAGTTCTCGCGATACTCTGCGGCTTCTGTTTTAGCACACTCTTAAAGTGATAAATGATTCTCACCATCACCCCCTTCAGGAGGCAAAGGATGAAGATTTACCCGTATTCCTAACGTACGACTGGTCTTGCTACCTGTAGAGCGAGTGAGGTACCCTCCGCGTCGGAAGCATATAAGCTTAAGGGAAGAGAGCGGCGGAAGGAGTTCCTGAATCGAATACAGTGGAATGTATCCTTGCAATTAGGTCGGAAATGATTAAATTGGGGCTTCCAAACTACACCGGGAGAAACAGAATCATAGTTCGGAATGCAAACGAATGCCAAGAATGGTCTGTGTCTCAAATGACCAGTCAAAGACAAACAAATACTCGTGGCTAGACTCATGGCTGCAGCAAACATTGACTCATTGAGGTTAAGGGGGCCGGAAGACTGGCCTTTCCACCTGCATAAGACTGTAACTTGAAAACGTCCATTTGCCACATCAGAAAGCGCAATATGAGGTCAGCATCTGGGCTGAGGGCAATTGCTACATTCAGGAGGTGGTGGCAGTATAAGGAGGAGGAATGAAGAAGACCAACATGTGTCATCCAGATTCCAGTTCAGGACCTAGGTATACAAATACCAAGGCGACTCCATTCCTGCCTTCAAAATGGCAAATTACTCACGTAATCGAGAGAGAGGGTGGTGTGTAAAGGACACATAGCTACTGAATTTCATAGCAACGTGATAATGCTAGATTATGTGACCCTTTTCAACCCTGTATCCCTAGAACAAAGGACTGTGCCTCGCAAATATGTGCTCAGTAAATACTTGCTGAATGGATAAAACGGAGTTGTATAGGCACAGAGAGGGCAACTGTGACATACTGGAGTTGTAAAAAGCTTCAAAGAGGAGGTACTATTTGAGCTGTTTTGAAGGCTGAATTTAATCCCCAGGTGAAAGAGGAATAAAAACATCTCTGAATTTACCTCTCTTCCGAGAAATATGTACTTGTTCTTTTTTTATCCTGGATCCAGAGGAGCAAAGCCTACCCTGCTTAGAGGGGGTTTATCACCACAATCAAGCATCAAATGGGCCTGGGGGCAACTGTGAAAAGTTCGCTTGAAATGTGCAAACTCACCTCCACTGTAAAAATCTGCCTCTGAATAAGTTATATGGAAACTATGCATCTTTTCAAAATTTTCATGAGCCAGTTTTCTCCTGGAGCAATTTTCCTCTTTTGTTCTTCAAGATGGCCATAACAGACGTTACAGCGTGGGCTGTAAGCGGGAGAATAAATAAGGTGGTAAGTCCACTGGAGTATGTGCATGGGTCCAGGGAAGCCTCTGGTTCAGCGATGAGAGTAGTTGATTTTCTTAGTTTACAGTGTCTGACCTAAGGGAATACGCAAACACCCTAAGATGTAATCAGTTTAAGTACTTTGGTAGTTTACTCTAGCAAAGCCTCTTCTATAGCTTACTTTTCAATTCATGGATCTAACGAGGTCCCGCTGGCATTCAGGGAGGAGAGCGTTAATCTCCGCAAAAACTTTTCCCGTCACCAGAAAGTCACACCCTTTCAAGACGTCTACTAGTTCACTCTCGCGAGAGTATGCAAAACGTCGTGCTTTTAATTAACCCCGCCCCCATCCCTATTAGTTGCCAGGCAACGATGTAACTAACAGCCACAGTGCTGGTAAACTTGCGAGCTTGTGATCTTTCTCCTTCCCAGTTTCAACCTTCTTCCGGAGCTAGCGACAGCGATTCCGATTTGAGCCCCGCCCCCTGGAGCCTGCGGGCGCTCGATTGGTGGACGATTCTCTCCAGGTGAGGGCCAACGCGAGAGTGGGCGGAGCCAGGCAGGGCACGTGATTCGCCGGAGACTGGTGTGCCGGACCCCGGCCACCGTGTCGGCTCGTGGCTGTCGCGTTACCGGGTAGGTGCTGGGGCCACAGCCCGGAGGGATCTTAGGAGGGATCCTAGGGTGAGCGACGGCTGTACAGCACCTTGAAGGGGTTAGGCGGGCGAGAGAAGGGGGGCTGCGTGAACCCTGATGAGGAGCGGGAAGATGAAGCCTAGCTGTTTCGGGGAAGTGCGGGCCCCCAGGCATTGCCGGAGTGCGGACGTTTAAGGACCCAGAGCCGCAGCTGACGTGTGAGTTAGAGGATTTGTGTGGTCAGTGGAATAACAGTGCAAGATCCTTGAAGCAGTAGGACTTTCCTTCCTCACGAGTCCCTTGTCTGGGTTTGCGCAGCGAACTCGGGGCTCTCCCACCCCCGTTCGAGTCAGGACTTACCCCTTGTTCTGAAAGTGATCTTTCAGAATAAGAGAAGTTATTTACCACCAGAATAAGAGAAGTTATTTGCCACCTCTTTGCTCCCCAGTGTTTCTTCCATAGACTGCTTCCTAGGAGATAGATGGGGAGAGGGTGCGGACAAGGGCTTGAGAGTAAAAACACCAGAGGAGAAATAGTGACGTGCTAGGGCTGTCCCCGGGACTAGCTACAGTTTTTCCTTAAGGGAACATGTTTGAGATTTCCCCACTAATTTTTTTTTCAGAACTGAATTCTACCATTGGACTGCAATTACTTTATGATAATGAACTTGATCTATTTGCAACCCATCCCGCCCCCAGCTGCTGCCACTACTCTCCCCAGATTCTTAAATTGGAATCTGAGGTCAGGAAGGAACTTGGATAAGCCACTTAGTTTGATAAACGTCAGTTTTTCAATCTGTAAAATGGGGAGAAGTAATAATGGTAGCAAAATCTGTTTTATTATGGGATTATTGGAAGGATTGAAGGAGATAATTCATGTGAATGTAAACTCCTAAGTCAGCATTATAGATCGGGGTTCTGGTGCAACTCTTCACAGATAAGGAAATAGAGGGCTAGGGACATTCATGACTTATCCTAGGGCATGTAGCTATTAACTGGGAGAAGGAGGGCTGGACTTGACCCTTGGCCCAGGGTTCTTTCACTTATACCTCACTGATCCTCTTTTGAGTGTTTTGAGGGATATTTCCTTCCTTCCCTTCCTTACATCCCCTTTGTCCCTTCCAGACATCCCCTGAAGAGCTGCCATGTCTGGGAATTCTGCCCCTTCCTCAGAACAGAACAACAACAACTATGAAACGAAAACAAATCTACGAATGTCAGAGAAGAAATGTTGTGAGTGTTGGTAAAGAGGAGGGGCTGCTGTCTCCCAGGATTTTACCTTGAGAATATTGCTGTAATTCTAGACTTTGCTGCTTGGTGGGAGTGAGAAATAGTTCTTCGACATGGTAATTTAAAACAAAGTCTACCAGGGGAATTTCCTTTCTGAAACAAGTAGACTCAGTGAATTGTCTGTCCTTGGGGCTAGACTGCTGGTGTAGCCCAGCATTTTCTTTTTTTTTTTTTTTTGCGGTATGCGGGCCTCTCACTGTTGTGGCCTCTCCCGTTGCGGAGCACAGGCTCCGGACGCGCAGGCTCAGTGGCCGTGGCTCACGGGCCCAGCCGCTCTGCGGCATGTGGGATCTTCCCGGACCGGGGCACGAACCCGTGTCTCCTGCATCGGCAGGCGGACTCTCAACCACTGCGCCACGAGGGAAGCCCTAGCCCAGCATATTCTTCCTGCTTTCTTTAACTGAATCTCTATCTCCCCCACCCTGGGGGTATCTGAACAGTTGATTGATGCTGAAAGTTAGAGCCAGTGTTATTGTACACGCAGTGAATAAGGCTGAGTAGCAGGGTGCAGGAATTCCTTGGGGTTGATACTGTTAACAGTTTCCCTTTATCTCTTGGGCTAAGTTTTGTGAGGGTGCTGCTCACAGCAGAAATTGCAGGTAAGAACCATTAGCTTATTTCTATAGACCTAAGGGGAATCGGCCCTGATATTTCACTTCTCGCCATGTCTTGGGCACCTTACTTTCTCACAGGTTTAGTCTTTACACTCTGCAGACTATTTTCCCTGCAGGTTCATTGCTCTGGGGATGGGTTTCACAGGAGCATTTCCATGCCCATCTTTTAGACAGAGACAGCAGGTGGGTTTGCAGAGAGATGAAGTGTTGTTTCCTGTCCCCATGCATCTGCATGCCTAAGCATCCTTATAGACTGCAAGACTGCAGAGCCTAGGCCAAAAGGTCCTGAGCAGTTTGTCCCCAGATGTTTTGGGGAACCTCTAGGAAAGCTAACTCTTGTCCCTGCTACCAGGTCCCTCTGGAACGCTATCAGTCAGTTCTTCTCACTTCAGTGGTTATATATATCAGCAGGTGGAAACAGCCAACTAGCATGAGACCTGGAATCATCTCATGTTGCAAGCTTTCCCCAGAGTCTCAACCTTGATGTCATGACCTTGTCAGTCTCGTGATTCATGATGGTCATCTCTTTTCACGTAGCACTGATGAGGCTTTTGGGGGTTTGGGCTGCAGCAGAGGCAGGTTGTTTGGGTGTGATACTGGGGTTGGTGCACCTCTATGATTAGGGTCTTCTTTCTCTGCCAGGGCAGGAAGCCAGGTACTGAGGGCAAACACCCTGTGGAAGATAACTAGTATAGCATGACGTTTGAGTGCAGCCTCTGGAGTCAGACTGCCTGGGTTCAAATCTTGGTTTTACTACTGCCTAACTGTGGGCTTTTAACCAACTTGCTTTTCTGCCCCATGCCCCAGTTTACTTTTTGATAAAATGGGGATACTAATAGTATCTCTCCCCAGAGTGATGTGAGAATTGAATGAGTAAATACAGGACAGCTTCTAGAAGAGTACTGGGCATGTGGCTAAACTGTGTTATTTTTCACTGGTGACTCTATTTGCATGTTGTGTTTGTTCCTGAAACATTATATATAGATTGAATTATAGTCTAGATGCTGTGCTGGGAGCTCACTTTTTAAAAGAGCTCTGTGAAGAATTATATTTTCAGTAAAAAATGTTTTCTCCTCTTGTTTGACAATATGGTAACCCAGATTTGGGGATATGGAATGCACACTTTAAATAGAGGTGCCCTCGTGCTACTAGGACATTTGAGCCCAACAAGAGCAGAGAACAGGTGGTGGTGTTTGGGGGTCAGGGGGAGTTGATAACTGTGGAAGTCTCTGACCCTGTGCAATGCTCAGTGTCAGTCCTTCTGGTTCTGCTTTTTCTCCGTGGGACTCTCCTACCTGCCTTCCTAACTTTTTTTGCATTTTTTTTTGCCTTGAGGGCTTTTGATTAGTCAAAGAAGCAGTAATCCCAGGTCTCTTTCCTTCCTCTAGACTCTAATTCCTGATCTCTCCTTTCCAAGTTCTACCCTCTTCTCCCCCACTGGAGGTATCTGGGTTATCCTGAAGCCACTGTCATTCATTTACCGCCCCCCCCTTCTCCTTTCGTGGTTGGACTGTGGGACTGTGACAGTCTATGAGAGTATGTGTTAGTTTATTTCCCTTCTCTCTGCTATTTTCCTGTATCTTGGAACAGGCTTCTTGGGCTGCTTCGTGTTCACACCCAGCAGTTGCTTTATTAATAGCTTTCCCGTTATCCCATTGCTGTTAATTATACCTGTCGTTGGCTGACTTTGACTTGGGAAGTGCCTGAACTAGAGAGCTGAAGAATGTCTTTAGGGAGCCAGAACCTCCAAAGGAGCAGTACTGGAATTTCAGCTGCTCCAGGGATGGGGGAGAAGGGGGGTTGGTGCTGTCTGAGGTGCCCTTAAGGTGCTCAGATAACTGGTTTCAGGGCTCAGTGAAAACAGGAATTAGGGGTAGCAGGGAAGGTCTACATGCTTTTCCTTCTTTGTTTCTTTTATTCTTTGATATTTTGAATAGGTCTGGAACAGACGAGTCCCTGTATGAACCTTCTCCTAATTATAAAAGCAATACATGTTCATGAAAAATTCACACAATACAGAAAGAAAGTAAAAAGCAAGAAAATCTCACCATTTCTCCTGTCCCTTTTATGTTTGATTCTTTCCAAAATCTTATTCTGGTGTATCCTATTAATGGAAATAGGTCCACACTGTACATATTTTGTTCTACCATCACCCCCCCACACACACTTTTTTTAAACTATATTCTGGACATTTTTTTCATGTTGATAAGTTCACATTTACTTCATCCTGCATGGTATTGCCTTGTGTGGATATGCCAGCCTCTCCCTGATGGACATTTACATTGTTTCTAATTTTCCACCGTCACAAACAATGCTGTAGTGAGCATCCTTGCATATACACCTGTTTGTGCTAGCAGCTTTCCCTACAGAAATAACAGGAGGAAAGGTAGACACCTTTGAAACATTGATCAGCATCCCTCAAAAGTTCTGTATTGTTAGCTGTTTTTAATATTTCAAAGCGCGTGATAGAAATTGGGCATTAAACTATAGCTTCGATGGTTAACTAAAACATAAACTTTCTTAGCGTTTGGCTGCAGAACTTCGATATGTTATGCTTATCAGTCAAACGGCAGGACATAATTGGCAGTTTTATGACTTCTGATGAATAAAAAGAAGATATTACTAATGAAGCACACTTTAAAGGGCAGCATATTTCAAAATATTGGGGCTGTTTAGAGCAAAAAGTGGAAGATGACTTGGTCATGAGAAAGCCGGGAACCATTGGCCTTCTAGACCACCCTTCAGGTTTAGATTAGAGAGCAGAGTTATGCTGGCCACATGGCTCCCTTTGTCAGGTGCTGACAAGAGCTGGTACTAGGACTGATTGGGCAGTCATGAAACCAGGAGTCTGGTCAGAGCCCTGACCTTGACTTTCTATTGAGGGACTGTGGGCCAAGCTCTTCCCTTTTCTAGGCTTGAGGTTTTCTGTCCGTAGGAGGGAAGTTATCACACCTTCATTCCCTCGAAGTGTGTTCATGAAGGGAAAATAAGTTTAAGATTGAGAAAGTGAGTTCAACCTTGTGTAAAGAAGGTAGAAGAGAATTTCAGGATTGAAACAGCTTTCCGTTCTTTGTCAAGGGGTAAGTTACATTGTCTCCAAAATTAATCAGCATACAAGTGTCTACTGTTCAAATTAAGGTGGTGATGGCTTTGTTTTTTAACAGGCAGGACAGAATGTACCTAGTTTTGCCCATGTGGCAATTAGAGATAGGAAGTGTGGTTTAGTTTTGTCCTCCGGAAATTGAGCAGCTCTGGTTGCAGCAAGTGTACGTGGGTGTGTTATGGGCAGAGGTGGGAGGTGTGGTGCTGGGGGCCACCATGGGGAGTCCTTGGTGGCCTGTGTTTTCTTTTGTTCTTAGAACTCTCTGTCCAGTTTGGTAAACATGGAGCAGCTGGTTCCCTGGTCGGCCTCAGAGCGTCTCCCATGTATCAGTTCATTTTCAGCTTCAGGGAGGATAACAGGACCTTTGGGAGAAGTGCCTAATGGGTTGGAAGGTGTGGACCAAGCAGTACTAGAAGTGCAGGTAATGAGCCAAGCCATGGTGATTGAGAAGAGTGCAGTGCAGGGCTGCAGAAAGTGAAGACTCAGGAGGATTTCATTCCTGAAACCTGAGGCAGCTGATCTGTTAGGGGTCAGAGATCAGGCATGAACATCAGCGGAGGCTGCAGCGTGGCGTTTGCTTGTCTTTGTGCTCCCTGTTTGGACAGAGATGAAAATCACTTCTGTTGCGCGTTGCCTACCTTGGAGGGGCTCCTGCTCAGGCCCGGGAATTTTCCGTGTGCGTAGTAGGTAAAGGACTAAAAGCCAACCCCTCTGACCCCAAGTCTGGGCATCCACCCCTCCCTCACCACCAGGGCCCTGTTTGGCTTCTGGGTACTTCTTGCCAAACACCCCTAGGAAACTCTCTTCCTTCCGAGCTCTGTTCTCTACCCACACCTCTCTGCCCACTTCTCCACTGAGATCTTTTTACATTCCTCTCTCAAAAAAGAAAGGATGACGTTCCCATCCAAGTACCCCAGTTTTGCTGAATTGTTTCTTAGCCTGACAGGGTCACCTTGTCCCAGGGAAGAAGAGTGGCAACTACTTGTGGGGCACCTTCTGAAAAGCAGTGCTGGGAAGACGAAGACAAAAGTGGTTCTTCCCCATCTGCACACAGGGCCTCCCTCCTTTCCCATCTGAGCCCTCCCAGATGACCTCAGTTTGGGTCTTGGCCCCAGGAATGTGGCTGGCAGCTTGCAGGGCACTCTGCCACCACTCCTCCGTGGCAGGATGGACAGGAAGGAGCCAGCGCCTGTGAGCAAGCTGATGGCGGAATGAGAGGCTCTTTTTATGGAGAAAAGCTGCCAAGGAAGCACAAGATCAGGATTCTAGGGCCAGCCCTTCCCATGACTCATTGCGTGTCCTTAGGCAAGTCACCTGGCCTCTGGGCATCTACTTTGCCCCCAGCTGCCCAGTGAGACCTGTCTCTGTAAATGAGCATTCCTGAAATCAATTGTATTCTGAAGAAGGGCGGACCAATTGCTATTCCTCCTTTTAAACTGTCTTGCTTTCACTTGGGCCTTTGAGGCAGGCTGGCTGTGATGCCCTTGTGGGCCAGCTTTACCACGAAGCTTCCTGAGGTCTAGTCAGAACCTATGTCAGGTAGGCGTTGACACAGTCTAAATGGTTTAGAAGTTCTGGCTTAAACTCGTGGCCTGAGCACAAAGGCCAAAACGGGTTAAGGCCAGGCTCTTTTTTCGTGGGCAGACTCTTGCCTGTGGTTCTGAAGGGATAGATGGGATCCTCAGGATAGAAACTCTGTTGGATCTGTTATAGGAACTGGCTCAGTGCTGCACTGGTAGAATCTCCAGGCCCAAGACTTTCCTTCATGGCTTTATCACTGCCGTGTTACTAGATATTCTCATGCTAAGGAAGATGCTATGGTTACTGTCTTTCTAATCCTGGCCACATTTTTTTCTCTTTCCATCTTGTGCACCCCTGTGAAGACCTTGGACAAGTGGGAAAGACGTGTCTTAGTTTGGGTACTTTCTGGAAGTCTACATGACCCTTTGACTTTCTTTCAGGAGGGTTTCCCCGATATCTGCTCGGTTTGCCTTTCCAGTCCTCCTGGACACTGGCCTCATTGAGGTGTATGAGGATCAAACCTGACCATGAAGTCCCAGCCCCATGCACAAACCTTACTTGACCCCTCTTTATTTAGTTTTGTTCTGTTCCATTTCCCTCTAGCGTGGGCATCCTACATGACCAACTCCCCGACCCTCATTGTTATGATTGGCTTACCAGCCCGGGGCAAAACCTACGTGTCCAAGAAACTCACACGCTACCTCAACTGGATTGGGGTGCCCACCAGAGGTAGGTGCAATCATGCATTCCTTGGGAAAGGAAGTGATCAGTTCCTGGGCCTCACAGGCCTCTGGGAGACTTATTCTCCCTGGCATCAAGGATACAGGGTTCTCTTGGCAGCAGTAGTGGTTGCTTCCTGGTTTACTGTATTTATTCCCTGTCCATATACTTGTTCCTCCTGGCCTGGCTGAATTGGCCTAGTTTGGGGGCAATGCCTTTGATAGGAGTATTAAGAATTAAATGAGTATATAGCTTTACATTTCCAAATCCCTTACATCTACGTTATCTAGCAGTATCCATGTGGAATAGCCAAAATGGCTGAGGAAATTGAAAGTCAGACAATTTAAGACTTGTCCAAATTCTAATAAGTCAGAACTTGAACTTAACCTGATTCTTAATCTGGTGTTGTTTCCAACATACCATGGTGCTTTTTCCATCCCCTTGGCCACTCTGACATTAGACCAAGAAGTCCCCTTTGGGACATCGTATTGTTTCACTGCTGGAGGGTATGGGTGTCTTCTGCAGTGTTTAATCTTGGGGTGTATCGGCGTCAAGCGGTCAAGTCCTATAAATCCTATGACTTCTTCCGGCATGACAACGAGGAGGCCATGAAGATACGCAAGTGAGTCTTCTAGGCCTGACTGCCAGGCCAGCTCTTTCTTGGCCGTCATGAGACTGGATGTGATGGGGCTTGGTTTCCCTTTCAGTAAATATCTTGTGGGGACTTTAAGTGGAAGTTATCTGCTGGGCAGCTCGCCATGGGCTTGGGTGGGTAGAACGGGGCTCAGAAAGTTGCGTGTGTGCTTGTAGGCTAAGCCTCCAGAGGGGTAAGACACGTGCATGGGACAGGGGAAGAGGAAAGACATAGGATGGTAGAAAAATCTCAACGGGCAAGTTGAAAGGCCTAATTAGGGAAAATTTTTGATCAGTGGGGAAACTGAACAGGAAGGGGTGTGATCCCTGTGGCGCCCCAGCTGTTCATGTCTCTGTCTGTGCCTAAGCTTGGCCCCGGCCCAGTCCTCTGGCTGATTCCTCTGCTCTCTTGGCAGACAGTGTGCTCTGGTGGCGCTGGAGGATGTGAAGGCGTATCTCACGGAGGACAGTGGGCAGATTGCGGTAAGCCTCACCTGCCTCCTCCCCCGTCTCCCCGCTTTCAGCAGCCTGGCTGCACCGCCCCACCTGGGGTCCGCCTTGGTGGGATTTCATTTCTCGGTCCCCGTTCATCTGTCTTGTGGGCTCTCTTCCCAGGTGTTTGATGCTACCAATACCACTCGAGAGAGGAGGGCCTTGATTCTGAACTTTGCCGAGGAGAATTCCTTCAAGGTAGAATCTGCCTCCAAGCTGGAGGAGGAGGGGTGAGTGGAGGTGGGGAGTTAGGAGGGACACACAGATCTGTTTGATTCTGGTGGGTGAGGACAGGATTGGACATCTGATTCTCTCCTCTTGGTGAGTCACCGCCAGTCCTTGAGTGTTTTCTTTCAGGTCCTTTCTCAGCTCCTTAGCCTGTATGTATGAGGCCCTGGGGACGTGGTAAGAGCTATTTTTAAATGAAGAGGCCTTGAAGGTCACTTTCATGAAAGAAAATCCCAGGGGATGTGGTGGCTGCGGTGGAGCAGATATGAGCGTGTGCTCTTAATTAACAGCCTGGCCATTACTGACTCATTGATCACTGCCTTCTCTCCCTGGCCAGGTGTTCTTTGTGGAATCTGTCTGCGATGATCCCGATGTCATTGCTGCCAACATCCTGGTAGGTGACATCCCCTCACACCACCACCTCTTTATGCCTCGTGTGTGTGTTGGTGGGGGTGGTGTGGGGAGTCAACCCGGTAATGAAAGAGAGAAATAGACATGTTTAACAACACAGGGTGATCTTTTTGATCTGCCAGAACACCGTTTTGTACTTCCACACTCTTCCCTTGGGAAAAGAAAGAGGCTTTGAGGAAGAAAGTAAGAATTAGCTGTTGAACAGAGGCCAAACTTAAACTGTAGTAGCCCTGGCCCTGTGTTCTGGGTATTAGCTAGATGTTGAGACCCAGGTATGTTCTTAGAATAGATCAGACTCTTTATTATCTGTCAGGGCCACCTTACAGGAAGGTCATCTGCCCACCAATTGTCTAATATTGAGGTCAGCATTCTGTGCACTGGGCACCTCGTGCTGTGTGTGGTCGCAGCTTATGCCAGTGCCCATTTGATGGTTGTGCTGTGCTGTGCTGAGTGGATATCCATGCACTGTGTCATGGTGGTGCTCTCCCAGCAGTGTGGGAACTTGCTGAAGAGGTGTCTGGTCTGAGTCAGCAGTGTATCAGATCAAGCACCCTATTCTAATTGCCCTTGGGGAGAAATTGGATCCCATTCTGTTTTCCCAGGAAGGTACATAAAAGGATTGGGGCCCAAGAACTGCTTCAGCTGCGTGACTGCCTCTGTCCTTCAGCCAAGGGCAGGCACATGACTCCCCAATTGTCTTTCCCTTCTTGGTTGCCAGGGTCACAGGACAGGGTGGGGGTGCTCAGTGAATGGGGATTGCCAATGCTCCAGTGAAAGGCCACTTCTATGGCCTTCCTTTTCTTTATTTAGCAGTGGCTGTTGGCAGGAGGGCTGTTAAGGGCAGACCTCTGACTAGGCCCTGCTCTCCCTGTGATTCCAGGAGGTAAAGGTGTCGAGCCCTGACTACCCTGAAAGGAACAGGGAGAATGTGATGGAGGACTTCCTAAAGAGAATTGAGTGCTACAAAGTCACCTATCAACCCCTTGACCCAGACAACTATGACAAGTAAGGTTTAAGGCCAAGGTTTGAAGGGCCTGAGGCAGGGGTCTCATTTGAGAAAAGAGCCTTTCTCCCGTTGTCCCTAGACTTCCCTCTGACCATCCAGACCTCTGTTTACATCATTCCAGGGAAACAAGGTATGGATTTGTGGCCTCTAGGCAGATTGAATCTTATACCTGAACACTGGAGTGTTTTTTATCCTGAGTTCTTCTGGTCCGTCCTCTAGAGCGTGATTTCTCAGCCTTAGCATGATTGACATTTTGAACTGGATAATTCTGTGCTGTGGGGCTGTCTTGTGCTGTAGCTGTCTTTAGCAGGATCCCCGACCTGTGCCCACTAGATACCAGTAGCACTCCCAAGCTGTGACAACCAAAAAGGTTTCCAGACTTTGCCAAATGTCCCCTGGGAAGCAAAATCACCCCCTGTTGAGAACCACTGCTCTAGATCAGTAGTTTTGAATTAGGGCATTGTAGGACACCTCTTAGAGGTGTGTCATCAGTTTTTGATCAATTTTTAAAGTTTATTGTGTGTGTATAGGTATATATATATATGTACATGTATAAAAATATATAGTAATACATATGAATATATGTGCGTATATTCCATATGCAAAATAACATAATATGTAAATTTATTTTGCATAAAACAATATATTGTACATGTGTATGCATATATAAATATATATATTTAAGTGGTTTTTAGATATTACTTACTGTGGCAGTGCCTATCAGCAGTGTGGTATAGAACACAGGTTAACTTGACGTGTGTGGGCGAAAAGAGCCGTAGCAAGATGCCAAGTCCATGTTGAAGAATGACATGTGCGCAGGGAGACCCGTGAGAAGGTGGCCTTTGAAAAAGCATGCAGTCAGTACAGCTCTAGTCAGATAAGAATACAGCCCTGAAGCCAAGCAAATGGCAAGACAGTGTGCATAGCCACGGTTAAATCGCTTCAGTGGTCTGCTTCATCTTTCGAGTCTTTCAGTCCTTCAAGTGTGTTGCCCACAATGTTAGCGTTTGCAGGTGTTTCTTCATACAGAAGTTGAAAACCACTGCCCTAGATATGGTATAATAGTATATTCCTCGGTTAGCCCAAAGTCCTACATAGAAAAATATTCTAGAAGAATGTGTGTGTGTGTGTGTGTGTGTGTGTGTGTGTGTGTAGATGTTACCTCTGGTGGTAGGGCTATGGGTAATTTTTATTTGCATCATTCTTTCTTAAAAAAATTTTTTTTGGAATAAACACTTATTATTTTTATGGTGAGAACAATTCCATGATGGCCACAAAGCAAACAGTCTATGTGAGTGCCTTTGAGAGAAACTTGATTTATGTAGATGGGGGGGAACGCACAGAGATCTCTGTCTATGTTTCTGCACCCCCCTCCTCGCCCCTCCCCGCTGGTAGATGCCACACTCTGACTCCGTCTTGACCGCCTCAGGTGGGCGCTGTGCTTCTCAACAAACTTCAGGGTTAGCAAAATCTTCAGGTCATCCATCTAGTCTAGCCCCTGAGGGGAAGCCTGAATTCTGTTTATCTAACTTAGCTACAGTGCCTGGCACAGTGTAGGCACTGAGGAAATGGTACTGCCTGATGAGAAGTTCAGGAAAGTTTACTGCATCTTTGTTCTGAGGAGCCATCCATCTCTTTCCATTTGATTCCTTACATTTGGGTCGGGGTGTGGCAGGAGAGGCAGAAGAGCTGCTGGGAGCCTGCAAGTAACTATACAGATCCTTTCCCCTCCTCCTGTTATCCTCAGATTTTCATACCCAGGGGACTTTTTTTTTTTTTTTTTCCCTGCTCTGTCCCAGGGATCTTTCTTTCATCAAGGTGATAAACGTGGGCCAGCGATTTCTAGTGAACAAAGTCCAGGACTACATCCAGAGCAAGATCGTCTACTACCTCATGAATATCCATGTCCATCCTCGCACCATTTACCTTTGCCGGCACGGAGAGAGCGAGTTCAATCTCTTGGGAAAGATTGGGGGTGACTCAGGCCTCTCCGTGCGGGGAAAACAGGTGAGTAGTTAGCCAGCAGGCTGGATTTCCCAGGCTTAGAGTTAGAAGGGCATGGTGGATGTCATCTCTTTGATCCCCTTACTTCTTACTGAATCCTATTGGAGTTTAGGCTGTGGTTTCAGATAGTCAAGCAAGTAAAGAGACGTTTGCTTATTCACTGGTTCTAGCTGTGTATTGAAGGGTGCGTAACTTGGAACCATTTCTGCTGTGATCATTCAGCCGTCCCATATTTATTGAGCTCAACTTGTATGCTCAGCACAGTACAGGATGCTCTGGTTAAAGTTCATTTCCTCTTGGGTTTATTATAACTATGTAGCACCTTTCAGAGTCTGACTGGGGTCATACACATTGTCCTTTTCAGGCTGAGTTAACAGTCCTCTGTGTGTGTGTGTGTGTGTGTGTGTGTGTGTGTGTGTGTGTGTGTGTGTCTGTGTCTGTGTCTGTGTCTGTATTTCCTTTCTTTCTTTCTTTTTTTTTGGCCGTGCCATGTGCAGCTTGCAGGATCTTAGTTCCCCTGACCAGGGATGGAACCCGCATCCCCTGCAGTGGAGGCGTGGAGGCCTAACCACTGACCGCCAGGGAATTCCCTGTGTGTGTGTTTTCTTTTAAAATTTTTATTTCACACCCCAGTTTGCCCAGGCTCTAAGGAAGTTTCTGGAGGAACAGGAGATAGCAGACCTCAAAGTGTGGACAAGTCAGTTGAAGAGGACTATCCAGACCGCTGAATCTCTGGGGGTGACCTATGAGCAGTGGAAGATTCTGAATGAGATTGATGCTGTGAGTAGGAAGGTCTGATGGCTAAAAAGCCAGTAAGGGTCTCCTATTCAGGCAGGAACACTCAGAAGTCACCATGTGGGCCGTTCATCTAGAAAACTAGAACCACCAAGTAGAGACTTTGAGGAAGCTGAATCTATGGCCAGTTTAGGGAATAAATGGGAACAATGCACCCCCAATCAGGGCTTCCTGCCTGCTTGACACACCTGTGCCAGTGGTGGGACCTGAACCAATTTTTGACCTAGCCCCTGGCACCTGGAGAGAGTGAAGCTCCATTTGGACCCTTCATATATTTTCCTCCTAGGAAAAAGCAATAGCTGACAACTCACTTCTTTAATTTCTGCTTAGGCCACCTGGTCAGCTATTCTGGAAAAGTCCTTTCCAATTTGTTCTTGGCTTTCTGTGTCCTTGAGCGCAAAAGTAGGCACTTCTTTTTCTTTCCTTCCTCTGTACCCTTTTATGCCTTCTACAAGAATTCCCTAGTGCCTGCAGTTTCCCCTCCTTCCCTGCTTCCTGTTCCTTTTATCCTGCTGACTTTTCTTGACCTCTAAGTTCCCCACAGCAGTAGGAGAAAGCAGCAGCTTAAGCTAGAGAGGCGGCCTCCTCTCCCAGGGGCCTCTCACCCTGCTAGTCGGTCAGTTGCAGTGCATGAAGGGAGCCAGCCCAGTACCTGGCACGAATGCCTAATATTCTTCACGGCCGCCTTTTCATTTGGGGGGCTGTGTGGGTCCAGTTCGCCTCTTCCAGCTGTGTGGCTCCTGCAGGGCGTGTGCGAGGAGATGACTTATGCGGAGATTAAGGAGCGGTACCCAGACGAGTTTGCGCTTCGAGATGAAGAGAAATACCTGTATCGATATCCTGGAGGGGAGGTGAGATTTCCCTCACGAGGGGTGACTGCCCCACCCTTTGCTAGGGGCTTAGCTTGAATTTTGGGGAAGGATTGAATGTGAGTTTGGGGACCGAGAAAGAGTACTTAAGACATCATTTAGTTTCTCTTCCTACCTTTGGGGCCTGCTGTGTTTAATTCAGCTCTGGCAGTCGGCAGTCCAATGCCTCATTGATTTGTTAAGATCTTCAGAGAAAGGGTAACAAGATAGCCTCTGTTGCTGAGTATATGTTAGAATCCACATGGTCTTTTGTAACTTCTTTTCTTTTCATTCCACCCCCACCCAAGCAGGTATAGGCCCCAAGTAAATATATGGGATATGAATGATTTTCCCCTCATCTGTGGTGTTTAAGGCTGCTTGCTGGTCCAAGTGGCTTCATAGTCTAGGGGTGTGAGGCAAAGGTAAATAAAACAACAGGGGGTCTAGGAAATCCCTAGGAGCCTTTGTTGCCTTGCACTCTTGCCTATTCTGTCGAGAGAAAAAGAACCCCACAGGCTGCATTCAGATTTTCTCTTCTTGACCTGCAATTTTCTCAGTCTGAACATTGCTCTTGAAAAGTCTGAATATTCTCAAGAGGTACCAGGGCTGGGGGTGGTTAGCAGGAGACACGAAGGCGCCAAACCTCCAGGAGGAAAGCCAGCTGGGGAGAAAGGAGAAGCGGCCTCTTAACTCTGGACACAGCCACCGACTTGGCTGCCAGCTTGCACCTCCTACCAACCCACCCCACTTCCCCCACAGTCGTACCAGGACCTGGTACAGCGGCTGGAGCCTGTCATCATGGAGCTGGAGCGTCAGGGCAACGTCCTCGTCATCTCCCACCAGGCTGTCATGCGCTGCCTCCTGGCCTACTTCTTGGACAAGGGTGCAGGTGCCATTGGAGGGAAGGGCCGGGCACACATCCACAGGGAGGGGGCTGCACTTGGGGTGGCACCAGGATCCCTGGCAACGAGACCTCCCACTCTTCCACTCAAATCAGAGTACATTCTTCAGGCAGCAGTGTGGGGCTCCCAGCAGCCATTGGGCCAACTACTTGCTGAATTTACTCTGCTGATACAAAAACCCCCAGTGGAGAGCAACTGCTGCTTTAGCTCTTGGTCCTGCCTGGCTAAAGGGACAGCACTGCGCTAACACTCCTGGCAGCATTAGAAAAGTGGTTGAACATTCCCGGCTTGTTACTTGGGCTACTAGGAGGGTGTTATCTTAGAAGCATCTTCATCCTTTGGATTCAGGGTAGATGGTTTCTGGGAAGAGCAATAAGGAAGTGCTGCTGTCTTCTCTGATACTCCCCTCCCTTCCCTTCCTGATCTACCTGAGCTGCTGGGAAGCCTGCAGGTTGACCTTTGGGGTACCCACGGTGCCCCAGTCTTCCCTTGTGTGGGGCCCTGGCTGCGGCACTTCCTCTCGTTTTGCCTGCAGGGAAGGATCTAAAGTGGGCTTTTTTCCTTTCTTAGCCACTCAGTAGCTGGGGTGGCTTCCTTGGAGGCTATGTTGATAATTGTCTGGGGGTTTAGAGGAGGAGATGTCTAACTCCAGGTCAGGGTAAAGAAAACTCAGGAGCGCCTTAGATGCTCTCTTCCACTAACTTAACCTTGCTTCATAATACTGAGACTTCCTCCACCTGGTCTTTCTGCTTTCAGATGAGCTACCGTACCTGAGGTGCCCTCTCCATACCATCTTCAAACTTACTCCTGTAGCCTACGGTAACTATGAGCCTAGGAGCTGGGCAGGAGGTGGGGATAGAGGAAGGTCAGGATTTTTGAATTTTCTCTGAAGTTTGCCTAGAAGTTCAACTTCCTCACCTGTATCTAGCAGGGAAGTTCCATCAGTGCCTTCCATTTTTAAAGGGATGTATGTATGTATTGGGGAATATATATGTTCTTTTATTACCATACTGAAACTAAGGAATTTTTCTTTGAGCTTTTTTCCTGAAGCCCTCTCCACTTTCCTCTGTTTTCTCAGGCTGCAAAGTGGAAACAATTAACCTTAACGTGGAGGCTGTGAACACTCACCGTGACAAGCCAACTGTAAGTATTTCCCCACGGATGACATGCTGGTTCCCCACCACTTCGAGTCTTTGAACCTTTGACATCGAGAGACTGGGTTTCTTTTACGTACCAAAGGAAAACCGATCCAGAACTCATGTCCCATGTAGTTTGCTTACTTCCAAAAAGAAGAGATGTTGGAATTACTAATTTTTAAAATCAGTATCTCTTTCCTGAGTCTTAACCTTGCGGATTGGCTCTTGGAAATCCAATGAACTATGGAAAGTGTTTGGCAGAAATGAAATGCAAATTTTCCCCCCAGAAAGCGCTCCCTTTAGAAAGCAGGATCCAGAGGTGCCTGTAAGGCGGGGTCAGGAGGTATAGGTTTGTTCCTAGGTCTGTCCTGGTAATCTGTGTGTGATCTTAAATAACCCCCTTCCTTTCTTTGAGCCTCTTTCCTGCTTTGAAGTATGGTGCTCAAGGAGCTTCTACCCCCACAACCTTTAGTCTCCCGGGGCTTTGGGACCAGGCCGTGGCCCATGTCTTAGGAGAGACCCCATCTGCAGGAGGCTGCTGTGGTTTATGAGTGAGCTTTTGGCTTGGCTTTCATTTGTGTGGTGTCCCTCGTTTCCAATCAGAACAACTTCCCCAAGAACCAAACCCCTGTAAGGATGAGAAGGAACAGCTTTACGCCTCTGTCCAGTTCGAATACAGTAAGGCGTCCAAGAAATTACAGTGTTGGGAGCCGGCCCCTCAAGCCCCTCAGCCCTCTCCGTGCCCTGGACATGCAAGAAGGGGCCGACCAGCCGAAGACCCAAGTCAGCATTCCGGTGGTGTAACCGTGTGTCTCCCTCCCATCCTGGCCTCCTGCCCTTGTCACTAATCACCAAGGAGTCATTTAACTTCCAGCTCCCACCTCCCCACCCCCACCCCCACCCCCACCAGCCCCACGCTGTGGATCTTAGCAGAGAATGTGAGGTCACGTGTTTCCAGACCAACCTTAGCTAGTATACGGTGTGAGACATCTCCCCGCCCAGGGGCAAGCTGGCGAGTTGGGTGTTTTAGGACAGGTCCTCAGTTGGGGGGGGCGGTCTGGAGGAGGAGGAAAAGGGATCCACTCTCCTGGGGTGATTGGCAGAGCTGGGGCTGAGGCTGAGCATGCCGTGGTTCTTGTCCATCCACAGTGTCTAAACTCACTAATGTCCTTGTGTTGGTAAAGTGGGGGCAGGGTGGAGGGGGACACAGAAGCCCATTTCCCCTGCACCTTTGTCTCTTCCAGGTGTGCTTTACTCACAGTCCTGACCTGCCCGCTTTCTTCCCCCCTCTCATGTCCCCTTTGGATTGCCCAGTGTGATGCGTGGCATTGTTGTGTGTCTGTCTAGGAGGGAAGGGGCAGTGGGTGGGAGAGAAGTCTGCCCTCCGTTGATGTTCTGTGCAGCGGGCCTAGATGGATCTGGACTGGGGGAGCCTTTCTTTTCCCTTCTCCCTTCCTCGCAAGCCAGGTCCTACAAGGGTCAGCCCAGGCTACAGAACATCCACAGGTGCTCTAGACACTGCAGGTAGACATAGGGTGAGAGTTCTTGCCTCCTTTCATGAGAAACAATCCTAAAGTCTTCAGTACCCGGGGGGAAGCTGGCTTTCAGCCTGTTCAGCCTGTGTGAAATATCTTGGTTTGTATTTTTCAGACATAGGTCTCTGGGCTGCAGAGGTGTGAGGTCTCTGGGCTGCAGAGGGGTAAGGTTTAGGAGAGTAGGCTAGCTTCTAGCTCTTACAGGGCTCCTGGAGAAGTGTCATACATTTTCTCCAGTGGTTCCTGACTTCTTTGCCAACTACAGGAACTTTCCTGCCAAAGCCAGTGACCTCCGGGACTGTTGAGAAGGACAGAGTTAGATTTAGGAGTCACCACTGAGGTTTGAATTGCTCAAGGGAAAGGCAGAGAAGAGTTCACTAGAGCGCTAGTGAACTAGTAATTTTCAGCACATTCTAGTAATTCTCAACACATTCTCCTTTTTAAGTCAAAAAATTTTTTGCGTGAGCAATTTTTTTCCCCAGATATTGGGAAAGCCTGGTGATAAATTACATCTCCCTCACTAGGGTATTAATTTACATCATCTTGATGTCCAGAGTAGTCTTAGAATCCTGTGGGGTCTAACTGTTGACTGTTTACGCATTTACTTGTGTCATTTTATTTTTTTCTGCAAGGTTATGTTTAGAGTAGGGATTCTTAGCCCCTTGGTGGCCCACGATGGTATATCTCCCCCAGTTTTTGTATACAAAATATATGAATATACGTATGTGCATTTTTCTGAGAGGCAAGTCTAGAGTTCTCATGAGATTTTTAAAAGAGAGAGAGGACTCTGTACCTTAAAGTTATCAATCTGTCTCTTAGAGGTGACCAGTGAGAGCAAGTTAGCTATTTGCCAGGGATGTTTTTGTTTGGTAATAGGAGGCCTTTTGTTGTGCTTCTCACCTAGGAATCTTCATTAGAATCCCCTATAGAACTTTTGAAACATGCACATGCCTGTGTCCACTCTAGGCTTAATTCTGACTCAGTCTCTGGGATTCGGGTCTGGGCATGCATGTGTTTAAATGGCTTCTCTGATGATTCTGAATCATACTCCAGGTTAGAACTCTATTTTGTGTTGTTGGGTGGAGAAACAGTAGTTCCTTGGACTAAGCGTCAACCTGGGAATTCTGAATTCCTCATGGTTTTGAAAGGACAGTTCCCTGGAGTTAGATGTGTGAGCAGATCACAGTATTGAATGAAGTTACTCCCCCATTGTTACTTCAGGCAGCAGCCTGTTCCGGCTTTAACACTTTACATTGCAGGGTGATGTGGAACAAATCACTATGTCGTATAAATGTCCTATGATAATAGCTGAGAATTTTAAGCACCCTGGAGAGAGGTACTGAGATAAAACTTGTGGGATGATAAAGGTTATCATCACAGGCAGCTGGCTTGTGACTTTGAGTCCTTTATTCCTACATCCTGAGTAGGACATCACAGCCAATCTCAAAGGCCACTTGCCTAGATTCTGCTCTAAATTGCCTTCCAGACATAAGGTAACTTCCTATTCCTGTTTAGCCATTATATAATGTGTACCTAGTGTCCATGTTTGTGGGGCTTTGGGCTGGGTGGAGTGGTGGTGGGAGAAGGAGACACCAAAGCAGCAGAAAAGGTCCTTGCCCTGAAAAAGTTATTTTAGAGAAAGAGCATATAATTTATAATAAATGAACATTTGTGAAAGAGCAACACGTTGAGTCTGTAAATGTGGATGTCAAAGTGGAGTAGAGATTCTTTCTGACTTTTTTCTTGTCCTACATGTATGAGACTAACAGGGTTGGGAGGTGGGAATGTCCCCCAGAATGATGTGGTCTAGTAGGTGTGTGTGTGGCACTTTTACAAGGTTGTCTTGTCTAGCTTTGCTTGGCTGGTGGCATCTTTAGCCCAAATGGGCATTCAGTCTTTTCTCTTGCTGTGAGGTGAGAGTGATTCAGAACTAATGCATGAGAAGGAGCATTTTGATCCAAGATTTGGCTTTGGGCTGTACGTACTCCTAGTGAGAAGAGAATTCTCTAACAAACTAGCATTGTTTTACCTTGTTATAAACCCCTGCATTAGACACAGGGCACTGGGATGTTCATTTGGGTTCTCAGCCTGCCGACATTTTGCCATTCTCCCCATGTGTTAGTTTGCTTCCCCAAGAAGAGGAGTGAGGTGGTCTTATAATTCTCAGATTGGACATGAGAAATTAGAACTTGACAACAGCAAGGATTTCAGCGTTGTTTGGTTTTTAGAGCAAGGTCCCTCCAGAGAAGTTTCAGCAGAAAGGAGCCAGGAGAGCATAGAATAGAAGAGAGCTCTTATTCTACCTTTTAGAGAATTCCTGTTCCCTATCTTTTCTTTCCTGTCCTCCTCTCCCCTTCTTATTTGAGTGTGTGTCGGTAGTATATACACGTTACTCTGATTATGTGTTTATCACGAATGCTAGTAAGAAAGGATGAACTCCAGAGTACCTTTTGCTGAGGCTTTCCGCTGTGTTATGGGAGAAATAGGTGAAGGCTTTAGCATTTAATCTACTGGTAGAAAATTAGGAAAGGAAAAAAATCACTGTATTATCTTTGATAATCACTGATTATCTTTTCCCTGCTTTAAAGCTAAATGAGGAATTGCGTGACAGATGTGAAGAGGAATCTAAAGCAGATTTAGACAACTAGCTTCTTTTCCTATATCTTAATCCTTAAATTGGAATTTAGCTCTTATTTATTATCTGTATTGTTTTTGCTTTTGTTTTGGTAAGGAGATTGTTTTGCATTCAGTTGGAAAGTAGAATAAGAAAATCTGTTAAAAACACGCATTATGCCAGGGGTCTGCCCCATATCCTTATCTCTGATTTTTGTTTTTTTGTGTTTTTTTGTCCATCCCCCACCCACCCACTACCTCCCAAGAAGTTAGGTTTAGGCGTGCAAGATATTTGTATCCTAGACTGAATGGTTGAGTGTTTCCTGTGAGGATCTGGGTATTCCTCTTTGCAACCCACATTTGATCTTCAGAGACACTGGCATTTTGAAGAAACATGATACGGCTGTTTGGAAATAAATCCATCTTATGGTGTATCTGTGAGTAGAAGGTCTGAGTACCAGAGAAGCTCACTGATGCTTGGGGTAGCCAAAGGACAAGGGGAATAAGTGCCTAATAATTGAGGGAACTCTATCTGGGTTGTATAGTCTTATGTACATTCCATTGTCTTTGTTAAGCCCAGAGGCCATGTTGTGTTTGTTTTCCAGAAATTTGATAACTTTACATAGGTTTTCTGGTATACATTTTGACTTGTATTTTAAAATATTTTACTTTGAATTAAATAATTTTATTAGAATTAAATATTTTAATTTGAATCAGGTTGCAACATTGGCAGGATTGATCTCTGACTTCCGGTCGAGGTGACACAGACATCAGAAGTATGTCCAGGAATTTAATTTAGACTCATCATGTCCAGAACACTGTATCTAGAATTATCTGTGTGCTGACTGCCTGACAGAGTGTGGTAGGGTCCGCATGCTGCCTGACAGATTCTGGTAGGGTCCCTATGCTGACTAACCAACAGGCTCTATAAGATCTGTAAGCTGACAAGTCTGACTGTTTTCTAATTGTACCAGTTGACACTGTATGCATGTTACTACAATTCTCTGTCTATTGTACATGTCCTACAAAGAAAGGAAGTAACCACTCCACATGTTTTCTTTAGGGGAAGTTCTATACACTATGATTTTTAACAGATATTTCTTTTAGAGTAGCAGCCAAATTCTAATCATTTTGTAGAAAATGAAGGTTGAACATCACTTGTAAGTTATTTTGTAAACTCAGCTAAGGAAATGCCTGCTCAGAGCCTGACACTGTTACCTTTACTTGAAGTCATCCTATCCATTCCCCCATTTCTGGGCAGGACTTCACTTTCTGAACTTTCTGTGTCCTCAGCTTCCCTGCTATGGGCTGTAGCATTCCATTGGATAATGCTGCTGTTTTTCGTCCGCTACCCATTTGCCTCTTAATTATAATATAATCAATAAAAATGCAAAGAAAATTTTGGCAAAAGTATTCTTTTCAGTAAGGCTTTCACTGGGGATCCATGACAATTTTTAGCTACTCAGTGTTTTTTGTATCTGAATTGCTTGTGTCCTTTTTTTTTTCTTGCGTTGAAGTAACAAAATGAATTCATTCTGATAATGGTGATGGTTTTGCTGTGGCAAAAACAAAGGACTTGTTGCCAGCTGTGCCCTTTGGAGGGATTGGGAGTGGGCTGAGCACCACTGGGTTAAATGGAATGGACTGAGTTGGGAACCGAAGCAATAGCGCTATCCTGCATGTTTCCTAGGCAAAGCTGTGTTGAAAGAAGGAATGTTAATCCTTAGGGGCATTCTAATTTAATCTGGTGACATTGATGTCAAAATATGGCACTCAGATCCACATAAGGTGTATAATTGTATTTGAAATGTGTTTTTGTGTGTGTGTGTGTGTAGAATGGGTAAATAAAATTGTTGAGTAACTTGAATCTATCAGAAGGCTTCTGGGTTTTTTGTTTTGTATTTTGGGTTGTGTTCTCCACCACTCCCCCACCCCCAAAACTTTGCCTCAGGCTGCTTGGCACTTGAGCGTCAGACCAGCAAAAGCCAGTCCACAGAGTGACTGGAGTCCTTGGTGGAGGCGTGGCTCTCTTGCACCACCTTCTGGGGAAGGTGGGAAGGACATTATAGAAGGCACCTGAACTTAGTCGTGTGTACTTTTTGGCGCCTCTACAAGAATTAAGAAAAAATTACCTTTGACCACACTGTGCTCTGACTCGCACTAGCAACATGGAACTCATTCTTTATTGTGGGAAAAAAAAAAAAACAACCTTTGGCGATCTCTTAGAATTTAGTGGACTCTTCCTTCTAAAATATTACCTTCCTGTTTCTAAAGAGATTACAGCTGGTGGGGTAGAATGGCATTTAACTTCTTCTGGGATAGGAAAAAAGGGTGGGATTGTGTCACTATTCTCATGCCTTATTTATTCCTTGTTACCTTAACAAGGACCAGGAGCTCATTAGACATGCAGGCTCTTGGGCCCCATCCCAGGCCTGCTGAATCAGAATATTCATTTTAACTGGATGACGAGGCAATTCAGACGCACATTTAACATTCGAGAAACACTGTTCTCAGGGGAAGAATTTCTCACAAGTTCAAACGTTGGATCCCAGTTTATGGGAGGAAGTTGACTTCTGCTCTGATGACTGATTTCAGGATGGACCGGGATAACTACAGCAGTAGGGACCCTCCTCAGAAACCAAGTAGCCCCTGCCCGCAGTATCATTTTTTTGGCCTGGTCTTTTGGCTGATGTAGCCTAAATACTCTCCTTTTACCACGGGGCTCCCTACTGCTTCCACCTCCTATCTTGGATATGTAGCTTAGTCCCAGGTCTGAAAGGAGTGCTTGGTCCAACATGGTCACAAGTTTGGTTCCTCAGGGAAAGAAGCTCAGGACTAAGCCATTAGAGTTTGTCTGACTCCCGAGGGTAGAGGGGCGTGTGCTAGCCCACCACGTGTGCGGATGTGGGGATGTGAGCCGCGGGGAGCACTGGAAGGGTGGGTGAGGGTTCTGCTCAACTTCCTCCGTTAGTCATTTGGCGGCGGTGTAATGGCTTTATTTCTCTTCCTCTCTGGCTCCTAGGCGGAGACCTCGCTGGCTGTGCATAGGCTCTCCTCTCCGGCCTCCCCCCCATTGCTCTCCTGATGATGTGAAAGCTGAGGCCAGACCTCTCCGGGAGACTGGCCTACTGAAAAACTTGGCATGTCAGCTCCAAAGGGGCTTGAACAGGAAGTTCAGTGGGGATTGGACATTCGGGGCCACCCAAATGAGCCCTGAAAAAGCTGCACCACATTTCTTCCCCTCATGCCTAATGGGAATATCAGTTACACTGAAAAACTTGACTTCCCTGTGCCTCAAAACATTTCACAGCCTGAACCAATTTCGTTTTGATCATCTCTTTGCTAGGTTTGGCCCAAGTTGGTCAATCCTGTTCCATTTTGGCACTTAACATCTGACCTGTGACTGTAACCCTAGCTGGCTTTCTTTGCCTAGTGTGCAAATGTACCTCTTCAGATTTAATTGTTTCCAAGTGAGAGGGCTGAACTCCAGCAAACCATTTCTGTGCTGTAAGAGCTGGTCTCTACATCCACTACAAGTGCGCAGGCTAGGGTACAATATACATAGGTTTGCGGTCACTTTTTTGTCACATTGGAAACGAGACAAATTCACCAGGTGAATGGAGGGTATCTGAGAAATTCAGTCCCTAAAACGTCTCTTCTGCGGTGACGGAAGAGCAGCGTTAGTAGCAATCTTTTTGTTTAGAGAAGTTTTTCTTGTTTCAGGCCCCTTGAGGGCAGGATCTGACTACAAGACTCCACAAAATATGTACCCTTCTTCTGAGTTCTCTTTTGTAGCTACTGTATTTTCTACCTGATACTGTGCGCCTCTCAAAGCTGAAGTGGGCTGACATCATCCTCTCTCGTGGTTAGAAATGAGGGCTGGAGAGAAAAGTAGGGTGCCATTTGGATCACATGAAGAAGTAAAAGAAGTTTCCTTGGGAATCAACTCTCCCAAGGAGTTCTTTTGGTTTCAGAACAGGTGCAGGGAGACATGCCCTTCTGTGGGGTCTGCTACCGTGATGCTGTCTCTAAGAAAGCTGTGGTTATGACTTCAAGAGCATCTGGTCTTCTAATCCCTTCCTCTTAGCTAATTGTCACTATTGTGGTCTATTGTTCTCTTATGTAGAACCTTGGAGGAATGGGATGGGGGGGAACCAAGCCCTCAATGCATTAATCATGTGGTTTCCCTTAAAGATAAACCAGGTAATTATTCCTTAGATCAGTGATTGTCAAATGTATAAATATGTCCCTGCAGATGTGATTTTAATATGTCACTGCTGCTGAAGGAAGGCATGGAAGCTCCCAAGGATACTATATCTTACAAGCAATCTTTTTTTTTTAAAAAAAACAATAGTAAGTTATTAGCTTTTTAAATTTTTTCCCCCTTTTCATTCGGATGCCCACTTGCTGGTCAAGAGGGTGAGTAGCAAGAAGATGCAATGCGATTTTCCCAAATGGTTCTTGTATACTGTGGATGATACAGGACCCTGTTACCTAAGATGTGATGTGCTGGGCTGCTGGCAGTTCAGCAACCAACTAGGAGCTTATTTTAAGTGCACAAAGCTGCCTTCAGAAAGTCTCCTGACCCTGCTCTGTAGCAGGTAATTTTCATCTAGCTGCTCATAGCATGTAGTACTGTAATGATTTTGTTCTTGTGATGCAGGTTTCTTTCTGCATCTAAATACACTGTCTTTTGATGATCTGATAAATGTTTTTATTTAGTTATTTATTCATCCATGTAAGGTTTTTTTTTGTTTTTTGTTTTTTTGCGGTACACGGGCCTCTTACTGCTGCGGCCTCTCCCGTTGCGGAGCACAGGCTCCGGACGCGCAGGCCCAGTGACCATGGCCCACGGGCCCAGCCGCTCCGCGGCATGGCATGTGGGATCCTCCCGGACCGGGGCATGAACCCGTGTCCCCTGCATCGGCAGGCAGACTCCCAACCACTGCGCCACCAGGGAAGCCCATGTAAGGTATTTTTAAGTCCCCATATTAATATCTGCATGTATTTAATCAGAATGTAAGGTAATTTGTGTTTGGTAGAAAGTTAGATATTTTGAGTATTTAAGTTTAAAGTCCATAGTATTACCTTAAATTAAAATTTCAGAATGTAGGTATCCGTCTTCTGTAAAAGGATAATAACTCTGTGAAGGCACAGTGGATTTCTTTTGAATACTTTTTTTTTTCATTGATTTTTATTATAAGTATAAACCAAGAGATACATTTCTCTGGAGAAAAGTTTACCTCCTGGATAAATAAGATCATGCTAAAATTTGTGAATAATATGTATTGCTTTTGTAATAAGAAATGTAATAAAAGTTATTTTTAATTAAAAAGTGCAGCTAATTTTTAAAATCGCACACAAAAGAAGGTAATATTTGGTACATTATACATACACAATAGTAACATCATGCATAATGTATTTGAAGCTAGCTTCTTTAAAATGATTCTCAAATTATTAGATTGTGTATATATTTCCAACTGGTGGTTTTAACTGGTGACTTCTGCCTTTATCAAGTTCCATTAACATTTCAAAATGATATTAGTGGGATCATTACTGCCATGCATTATCAACATTCTAGAGCTTTATTAATTTATTTAATGGATATTTAATGATCACCTATTGGTTGCCATGCAATGGCTAAAACACAGTCTGTCCTCTTTCTAGTGTTTATTATTAGAAAGGAAACACCTAACAGCAAGTCTGTAACCCATCCCTCCCTTCTGGGAGGGAATGCCTCCCCCTTATAAATGACCTTGACCAAAACCATTTTTAGATGATAGTTATGCAAATATTTATGAATAAGGAACTTGGAACACTACAGGATGGTTAGCAATGGAGATAAAATGAAACGTTCATAGTAACAGTAAAACAATTATCAATTCTATAAGCTCAAGGGCTCTGATAGCATGAAAATGACTTAGGAATTCTCCCAGTTTGAAATTGAGAGAAAGTGCTAAATGTATGAGCTTTAGTAATGTATCTGGAGGAGTAACAATAACGAAGGTGTCAAGGGTGTGATTTCCTTGGAAAACTCTCCAAGCCCTTTTGTTAAGTTTTCCCTTATTCAGCAGTCAAGCCACTGTTTGAAGAAGGCTGGGGAGTGTCTTTGATCATTCTCCCTGTTTTTTAAATAGGTGAATGAACACCCTTATTGTGTGACTCACCTCAATAATGATGGAGTTTTTGTCAAATTATAAGATTTGTGATGGTGAGGGCCCAATAAACACATAACATACTACTTTTCAATATAGCTGGAAACTTAAAAGATGATCAGGATTAGAAAATGACTTTTTGGAGAGTGCTCCCGTGTTGGGTAAGGGTCATTATTTGCTTTATTTCTGTAGCCATAATTGTTACATCATGTGTTAAATTTCTCCAGGGTCTTCACTGGGGACTCACCATGAGGAGGGTCAGCCTTTGGGTTCACTAGCTTGTCCTTGTTGGTGACAACCCCACTGATACTTCCTCTGGCAGTCTGGCAATAGCCTGTTACCATGCTTTATGGTTTTGAAGTATTCTGCACCATCCAACCTACACTCATTGTCTTGAAATCATTTGAGAATTTGATAAAAGCTAAGGAGTCTCTCCCCATAAAAAGGTACACACACATAAGTTGTACATACAATTTAGTGGGGGGTCATGACCTCCTGAAGCCTATCCTTGGACCTCAACCAGGAGGTAGATGATAATCTACACACATACAAATACACCTCATCTTCCTTTCTTTCCTTTGACATAAAAAATGAAGACATCTATTTGATATTAACTCTTAAGCAGAGAAGGGGAATATATGAGATTCTGAAATGCTCACTTTTTTTTAACTGGACATTGTGGATTAGTCAAGAATTTGAATAGATTGTAATAAGATAACATTGCTAATCATGGAGAGTAATGTTTTCGTTTTCTTAACTTGAGGGAACAAAGTCTTTCTTCTTTTATTCTCATTAAGCCAGCTGCATTTGGGGCAGAATAACTCCCTTCTGAATTCCCAAAGACATTTAGGTACGCTTTTCGGTTGTATATGTGATACCGCACGTTTGAAAACTAAGTCAGATTCTATAGGTGAGTTTCTCCTTGCAATTAAGTGAAATAATTTCAGAAGCATAGGAACCCTTGGGAAGAGCATTCCAGATCTAATGGGACCTCGCCTCAAAAAGTGTAATGACCTTCACCAAGTATCCAGCCTACTTTCCGGGAATAGCTTGTTTATCCCTTTGGGTTTTCTTCATTAGGGATCCATTTACCTTATTGTTTACATTCAGTTTTCACTTCCTAGGTTTTCTCTTTCATCCGTTGCTTTTTTAGAATTTGTGCATGGGATGGAAAACAGCCTCTAGGCACAATTTAGTAAAGTCTATTAAACATTTTTTTCCAAATTTAAATTCCTGGGTCCTTTCACTCAAATACCAGTTGGCCCTTATTTTCTTGTATTCATGAGTGTTTCAGATTAGAGTTGGTTTCAGCTGAAGGTGTCACCAAATCCAAAATAACAGCACCTTACACATGCAGAAGGTTACTCTCACCTACAATGTGCTGGATTCTACCTCATAGTACAATATCAAGCTACCGGAATCATGTCTACATTCCAGTCAGTAAAAAGGGAGCAAAAAGGGTACACCAACTTCCTTTAAGGGTGTTTTCTAAATGTTGCACGCAGTACTTATTCTCATAGCTCATGGCTATATATTACTGCAGGCAGGCTGAAATGTATTTAAAAAAAAAAATTCCAAGTGACCTTGTGCCAGCTATAATTGTGGTTTAATTACTAAAGAAGAAGGATGGAAGGGATTTTGGGAATGAATAGCAATCTGCTTCAGTAGGTAATAGGGACTTTGCAGTAAGTCTGAAGGGACATAACAAGGTGAGCAGTAGTCTTTGAAGAGTTATATTGCCACCACTTAAAGACACACTATTTGTCATTCATCAAGTCTGATCTTGCTGTAGTGCATGTCTGTTTTGACTCACAAGCGAAGCTTATTCTACAATGCTTCATGAACAGTTTGACCTTTTTAAAATTTATATATTTTATTCTCATGTAATCTGAGTAAAGCCTACTTTTCTGGCCCAGGTTTTTCTTGATGAGGCATTCAAGAAACATCAACTCGGTAAATAAAAAATAATCAGAGAAGCAATTTAGATCTTTTCTGAATTGTCTTGACAAAGACCCGAAGGAAATTCATTCGTAACATACTGTAGAACTTTTAAAAATCTTTTCCCAATTCTCTTAAAATCACACACACACACACACATCACAGGGTGTGTTCCCCTTGTTTAACTCCCCACAGCTCTTCCCCCAGCCTAGGCATTGCGGACTTTTGTTTTTCTACCCTTCCGCCCTCACCTTCTGATCTCTTCCGCTAATTACTGGCCGCCATCCCTTTGTAAAGTAATCAAACCAGTCTGAGTACAACTTGTGCGCCTGATTTATTACCCTAGTTCTCCAGGAAACAATCTGGATCAGATCAAATTGTTCAACAGTCTAGAAGGGTCAGTTAATGCTCATTTATTAGTTTATTCAACCTTGGACACCCATAATAAAACACGTAATCCCTTATATGGAATTACAAAATTCAATACGCTTTGAAAACAAAGTTTTCTTTTAATTTATTTGACCATAAAACCTGACCTGAACTTTGTGAGGATATTTATAGTCTCTCTATATCCCACTTAGTGTAAATATTTTTACATTTCACGAAGAAATGTTAGGAAGACAGTATTATAAGCAATATAGTACCTTTCTAAAGTCCTAATCATTCTGAATCTAAAATAAGCCGTTGAGACGAAGACTTATTTGCAATTATTTCCTGTAATAATGCTCTATTTTATACTCATGTTTATGTAGCAATAAACAAAATTTTCTTTCATTTTTTATTATTTATTGTACAAACATTATGTACACTAGATACTGAGGAACATGTATTCCTCAAGAAATAGAATATGTGGTATGTTAAAAATTGTTCAAAACTTGGAACTAAACAAACAGAGATCACTGGAGACATTTTTTTTTTAAAGAGATTTATTTATTTATTTGTTTTTTGGAGGTGTTGAGTCTTCGTTGCTGCATGCGGACTTTCTCTAGTTGCAGCGAGTGGGGGCTACTCTTCGCTGCAGTGTGCGGGCTTCTCATTGTGGTGGCTTCTCTTGTTGCGGAGCACGGGCTCAAGGTGTGCGGGCTCAGTAGTTGTGGCGCACAGGCTTAGTTGCTCCGCGGCATGTGGGATCTTCCCCGACCAGGGCTCGAACCCGTGTCCCCTGCATTGGCAGGCAGATTCTTAACCACTGCGCCAACAGGGAAGCCCTGGAGACATTTTTTTATGAATTACTG